CAAAGTTGTAAAGCTGAAAGTGCACGATAAATAAAGTTATTGTCTCCCAAAATAAAGAATCGACTCAGAACAGCTGAAATGAGTCGTTAGTAATTCGAATCCCACTTCCGTGACGGCTACACATCACAGGGTAACATATTTGCATAATGTGCCTATGTTCTACGTTGGCCGGCCGCGAACAACTTGACCCCGCCCACAAACACGTAATTTTACTGACGACTGCTAATCTCGGAGAGTTCAACGTGGGATTCACAAAGCGCTTGCTGTTGAAAGATGGATCAGTATCCTGTTTATTTGGACCAGCTGCTCCACTGAATCACAACCTGTAAGTATGATAAATAATAGATGTTTATATTTTCTATAGAGCGTTCAAAATACAGAACTACTGAAATAGATGTATCGTTTCCGACACGCGCTGTACGCCGTAGACCAATCACAACAGACTAGGCCATCTGACCAATCAAAGCAGAGCAGGCTCACGGAAAGGAGGGGTTTAGAGAGACTGAATCTTTGAACTGCTTCGAAAGAATCGTTTGAGAATTGCTGGAAAATGAGGTGGTATTAAATGCATATTTTGAGAAAACGAAAGCGTTTTTTGACCTTGCATGCATGTAATCCTTTTGTAGGAGACTCCCAAAACAATATTAGGAACCGTAAAAATGGCATAATAGGGGGACTTTAATACTGGAGTAATGGCCTCTGAAAATTCAGCTTTGCATCACAGGAATAATTTACATTTCAAAATATATTCAAATAGAAAACATACATTTTAAATTGTACGTTTTTTCACATAATACTATTTTAAATGTATTTTTCTTTAAAGGGGTGGTTCACTGCGATTTCACTTTTTTAACGTTAGTTAGTGTGTAATGTTGCTGTTTGATCACAAACAATATCTGCAAAGTTACGAAGCTGAAAGTTCAATGCAAACGGAGATATTGTCTTTTAAAATTCTGGCAGTTTAATGGGCGCGACATTTAGACACGCACTAGAGGCGGTTTAGCCAATCACGACACACTGGGCTAGCTAACCAATCAGAGCCCATCGCCTATTTCTGAGGG